GATTGGAGCTGTAAAAGTTAAAAGTATCGATTAATGAAATTGTCTAAAATGAGATCGATTTCCTCCTGAGACTCACCATGTTTACTCCATAATGATATTCTTAGAGATGCCGTGAATTCACTTCTTTCCTGCTCTTCCCATACATATGGTATCACAAAATGTTTCGTCTCTGCTATGCCACTTTATTTGAAAGGTAAAAAATGCTGTAAATGTATTCATTTCCATAGCCATTTTACCGGTACAAACAATAATAACCAAAATAATTTATACTAACTACCAATTTTAATAGGTACAAATAATTTGATCAAATAAATATTTTAAAATATCTTTCACTAATAACCTTGATATATTAACAATAAGATATATTAATTAATGAATAAACTCCACTTGTTTTGCATGTATTAAAAACATTGCCAATGAACGACACTTGTAAAATTGTTTTCTTTAATATTTATTCATTGTTAATATATCAAGGTTATTAGTTAAAAATTTAAAATTATGAGATTCGAAAATTACTATATATATATTAATTTAGTCTTGAAAAGCAAGTAATTTTCGAATCGTATAATTTTATATAAAATATATGTCTATGGAAACTGTATTTTTCAGGACTAACAATTTAAAAAAGAAACTGTATTAAATTCAACCAACAAGGTAAGTGTAAATTCTTATTGTACTTTTACAATTTTCGAATATTTAGTTTCACATCGGGAGGGAAAACTGGCAATGTTTTGTTCTGCTTTCATTCAAGTACTTTTCACCGTCGCTGAATTTGATGCAACTTTGTTATATATATATTTATATACACATACATGCATATATATATATATATATATATATATATATATATATATATGTGTGTGTATATGTGTGTGTGTGTGTGTGTGTGTGTTTATATCCGTGTGTGTGTGTGTATGTGCAAAATGAAATAAGAGATATGCATATATTTTATGCCCGCCTGTGTATAGCTCATTAAAAATGTTTCAATGCTTGATTTTACCAACATGCATACTTTTTTTTCTCGAGATGGATTTTACTTTTCTTTGTCTCGAGTTTTTTTTTCAGATTAAAATATATATATATATATATATATATATATATATATATATATATATATATATATATAGAGAGAGAGAGAGAGAGAGAGAGAGAGAGACATTTTCTCCCGAAGTAAAACAAATTGTCCTAAAATAGGAAAAATAAAATAAAATTTAAAATTACCTTGTTGGTTGAAATTTATTTATCATCTTTAGATGAATTATTAATACCTAAAAATACAGCATAGATGTATATATATACATTCATATCAATAGTATGAACTCTGAACACGGGCATAGTGTGCTGGCTGTGTTTGGTAAATAAAAATTTCCTATAACTCTAGATACATACATAAAATATTTAGTTAAAAGTTAAAATAAAACTTTCCTTGATAATGGCTAAAAGTATAGTCGTTTTAATGAAACTTATATATATATATATATATATATATATATTATAAATTAATTGATTTAAAATATGTTTTTTGTGTAGCGGAAAAAAAACATTTTAAATCAATTAATTTATAATATTAATGCTCTGTAAATTTACGTTGAGCACTATTTTGTAAAAATAAAATATCTATAAGAACACCGGATTATATATCTTACTGTTCTTTCTTTATATATATATATATATATATATATATATATATATATATATATATATATATATATATATATATATATATATAAAATGAGAGAAAGAACAGATGGAGTAAAATTCTACAGTAGCATTTACATTTAAAAAAAGTGATCAGTATATGTAGAGCAATATATTATTATTATTTTTATTATAAAAGATTATAATATCTCATAATGCGATATCAACAAAACAGTTATATTAAGTACATCAAATATATTTATCAACGTATATTGAGGATATTAGTTGTGCCATATTAACTTTTACTTAAAGTCGATATTTTGTATTCTTAACGGAAATAATTGTGCATATTGTTTTTTTTTGTCTTGTTTTATTTTCAAATTGTAACTAAATAAAGATTATCCGTTGTAAAAATTACATTTGCTCATTGATAAAGAAACTATTAAAAACTGGCAAAATAAAAAGCAATTTATGCGAGTATCCATTTATATTCATGCAAAACTGCATATTTTGTATATATATATATATATATATATATATATATATATATATATATATATATATATATATGTGTGTGTGTGTGTGTGCGCGCTTGTGTGTATAGATATTTTATTATTTAAACGTTATTTTTAATGTTTAAGCAATACAATCTGTCGGATTAAAAAAAATACATCATATATATATATATATATATATATATATATATATATATATATATATATATAAATCGAAGCATATTAATGTAAGTAGATTTTTTACATTTCTAGGGTTACTTTATGCAAAATAAAATAAACTAATCGTAAAAATTTATAAATTTTATGATTTATATTATTTATTTAAATAACATTATAAATATATTTGTATGCCCGTAAATACAATCTATCTATCTATCTATCTATCTATCTATCTATCTATCTATCTATCTATCTGTGTGGTTTAACATGATACCAAGAAAAGTTAATATATTATTAGTTTTTGATTCAGTAAATAAATTTCATTGTATGTTTAATTTATTGATAACGTAAGTTATATATTGTTTTGCGAAATATATTAACAATCCAACATCGTTTAATATCGGAATTATATTGATGTTCAGGAGAAAACTTTGGAAGCCATAGATTTTTAGGAATTGTAAAAAAGATATGCTACTTAACCTTAGCGGTAAGATGATCTTATTTTGTTGGTTATTTAAAGCTCTAACAGATTTTGAATTGTAAGAATAATTCTATTTTTTTCTTATTTTGGCATTTTTGAGAATAACCTTGATTTTTCCAGGTTGACGTCCTTCTATCCAACCCATAACTGGGGGTAGGAGATACATTCATACAATTTCTAAGGGTTTTTTGCGCGTAACCGAATATCTCACCTCCAGTCACTATTATAACACTCGCAGAAGGCTGAATAGTGTTTGTGCTAGGGTTATATTATTACTATGCTGTTTGTATTATATTAAATTTTATTACTAAATTTATTGAAATTTAGTCATTTTTTTTTAAATGGTTCAGAGGACCCATAATGGTAAATAATTTAAATACTGAAGCGAGGAAATGGCTGTTAAAAGCGTATTGGAAGTCTTGAAATTCTGAAACGTTTAGAACAAAATGGGTTGAAACATTTGGTAATCAAGCGCCCCCCCCACCAAAAAAATATAAATATATATATATATATTTACCGCATTCCTGACGTGCCTTAACCGTGTACGTGAAAGATTCATGAAAGATTAAAGTTTAAAGACAGTAAAATCGACTTGCTAACTGAAAGCTCCTCTGTGGCCGAATCGGTTAAGGCACGTCAGGCTATATGAGGGTTCCGTATAGGATACAGGTTCGATTCCTGTCGGAGGCCGAAAATTTTCTATGAAAATTTCTCGGACATTCAGGCTGATTAATGTTGTTTAATACTGTTTATTATAAAACAGAGCATTTACTTAAATATTTGTATCTATAAAAAGAATGTATAAACATAAAAATATAAATATATATATGGGGGCGTAACTAATTATAGTCAATCATGCGTATTCATTTCCATATATTTCTCAAGTAAATAAAGAAATTCGCATTTAAATCTTGCAAATCAAATTGTATTTCTGAAGAAATTAACGTGTTGAAATAAAATTTATTAACGCTGTGAATAAATTACAATAATTCTCTAGTAAAACAAAATCCCTCCGTGTTCGTTAATATTTCGAAGCTGTGGAATTTATGGACCCTAAATCGCTAGGCATAATAAGCACAAATAAATATTTCATAAGCATCGTCGGAGGCGATCATTACGATCTATAAGATTACTTATTAACCGTCACTTTTTCTGCTTCTCACCGACAGAATTTCAAGAGAATTTACAAGAATTCAGTAAAGAAATTTTGTCTTTATTATGGGATGTATCCCTTCTAGACGTGGGTGATCATCGCTCTTCACAGCGTCCTTTTCAGTTCGCAGACACGTTTGTCACCTTACCGCCTTTCTCAGTTCATGATCTATTCATTTACACGAATGCTTTAGATAGGGTACTTGCTGTTTCCCCTTTGCTTATCTTGCCTAGTGTATGTTCCATAAGTGTCAAATTTTACAAGTCATCTTTTCTCATTATGTATCCTAGAAATTTTTTCTTCTATTTAATTATGTTATTCTAGTCCCAGTTTTCCTTAAAACGTCATTGTTGCTTACATTTTTCTTCGATGCTATTCTCAACATCCTCCTGTAGAACATCATCTCACTTGCCTCCTACTTTTCATCTATGAGGCAGTTGTTAAGCATTCGCTGTCATATTAGAGGAGAAGTGTAACATAGCAGTTCAGGTTGTTTTTGGTTGATTTCTAAGAACATTTTCCTATCTCTTAATATTTTTTTTCAATTTCTGGAATGCATCATTCATTAATCTGATCCACCTTCGAATTTCGGTGTCACATTTTCAGCAATCTGTTACTACACTGCCCAGATAGATTTCTATACCTGCTCGGTTCTTTCCTTCCCAATCCATAGTTCTTATCTTGCGCTTTTTGATGTTGAACGAAGAAATCGCGCGATTTAATTCCAAAATTGACTCGTTGCATTTTTTTTCGGACTAATGTTCTCGGCAGACATGAAGAATCTATCGAATTCATTCCATGGACAGATGCTACGAAAGTTGGTTCAATGTGCAGTGCTAGCCAGTTTTCCTCTCTGAAATTTATCTTACATATCAATAAGTCTACCATTTGTCCATGCTTAGAATATTGCTGTTACATATGGTCCGGTAGTCCTGTTTTATATCTAATGCTCCTTGATAAAATCCAAACAAGAATCAGCAATATTGGTTATGATCTGACGTCACGGCTTCAATCATTTCCCTAACGCCGTAAAGTTGCCTCCCTGTGCCTTTTCTATAAATACTTTCAAGGTAACTCTTCAGATGAACTCTTTGTCATGATAGCTAGACTTTATGAATTTAAACACAGTACTAGACTGGCAACTATGCTTCACTAATTTCCAGTTGAGTTGACTAGGTGCAACCGTAAGTTCTATGCTAACGTTTTCTTTTCTCATTTGTGGTACTCCCTTCCGGCTCTATGCTTCCCCGTCAATTTTAACCTTCAAAAATTTAAATGCAATGTCAATCGATTTGTGCTGTCCCCCTGATTACGCTTCTTTTGTTCTCACGCTTTAGTAATGTTTCTATGTTCTAATTCTTTCACAGCCAGGAACTCCTCGTATTCTATTGGTTTTATTGACTTGCTTGGCATGAACTCAACCAAATATAATATATATATATATATATATATATATATATATATATATATATATATATATATATATAAAAGAAAATCAAAAACGGAAAAATGGAGGTATATTTTAAAGTTGATTTTTGAATAGCAGAATATACAATATCCAACTATTTTTGTTTTAAATTTTAAATTCTTCGTGTATCTTCATACAAAGATTTCTCAGGTTTGGCCAGATTTTCGTAAACGTTTCGAGCCAAGAATTTTTCATCATTCCTTCATATGTGTATATGTGTGAGTTCGTATCGGCGTTTGCATATCAGTTGTTAATACCGTGATTTCGCGTTGGTCGTTCTTGAGAATATGCCTTCCTCGTGGATGACATATAAGAAGATAGCCTCTCGAGCCAGTAATATGATTTCGATCACCAGGAACTGATTCCCAAAATTGGCCTGCCTCATATTGTAGAGAGTTGATCATTTCCTGACGATGTGATAATTTTTAACCGTTGACAAGAATGTTATCTCCACCGTCTTTAAACGATCTGGATTTTATATATATTAAGCTAACATTTAAACCTATCAATACTTCTTGGGTGCCTTGCTATTTTAGCTCTGATCCATTTTAGGAAGGTGATACAAAAAAGAGTAAAATTATGATTTCAAATGTACGCAAAAGCTCTTGATGCTTGATTTATACTGAATGAGAAAATACCCCACTTTTTTTGTTACTTTACTTCCCTTGGGCCAAAGGCTCATTCAAGGTAGAAAAGGTTGTAGGGTGGAGAATAATTCATCACCCACAAAGCCACGTAAAGGCTTTTGAACTCTGTCAAGGCTGAACTGAGAGGACGGGGCAGCATCTGCTCAGATATGGCAGTAATACTCCATTCCTGGTTTGATCTGACTATTGTAAAGTTCATTCAAGATATCTAAGGTGATCGCTCTCGATATCTGTGTATTATTAATTGCTTCATTGATTCTATGCATGATAACAGTTAAGGCATCAGCAGTGGATCTAGAAAAGCGAAAATCATACTGTTTGTCACGCAGGAGTTGTTTCTCTTTAGGTAGACAACTTGTTGATGAAAGCTTCAGAAATTTTCTGATGACATGATGGGCCGATATTGTGAAGGGAAGAGTCCTCACATTCATTCTCGTATCCAGTGCATACACTAAACACTTTCCATGGGCTTCGGAAACATTTCTTCAGGCAGCGGTTAAACAGGTTGAAGATAGTTATAGGCTAAGGTTCTAGAAAAAAAATAGAGGGATTTTTTCAGGACAAGTAGACGTTCTAGAATCAAAACATTTGATAATCATGGAAAACTCCCGAGCCGAGAGAGAAGTATCACAAAGTTTTTCTCGGTGGTGTGATGGAAGTTGGATGTGAAATGGCTCTTTCGTGGAGCTAGAGGCAAAGTTCATTGCAAAGAGCTTAGTACTATCCGACGAGTATGAGATAAACTGACAAGCCATTTATAATGGAGGGTATTGACGTCCTGCTTCTATTGCATTTGCGATTTTCTGAACTCGCAAGATCCAATTATATTATTTACTTCATTGGATTCCAGCGCCTGTGCAAAGCTGCTCTTTACATTTTCCCGCACTCTCTTGCAGCGACTGCGAGCTGTGCTAAATGAGGCAAGCGTCCTGCTACACCAGTCCCTCTGATAGTAGAAGTTACGCTGAAACATGACCGTAACACATTCAGGCATGGATATTGCATGTAAAATGTTTCTGTTTTCTTTTTCTAAGATTTCACTGGTAATGTTTTTTTCCCAATTATTTGGTGATCGGAAATTATAAGCGATTGATAATCATTACTAGTTTCTCAGAACTAGTAGTGATTAGACAATTTGAAGAACTAGACAATTTGAAGGTTAAAAGTTGACATTGGATTAAGAGTAGGAACAGTGTATCACCATCAGCATCTCAATATTGCAAGCTTGGAGAGACAGGAGGAACTGCCTATCAACATCAGCATCTCAATATTGCAAGCTCCAAGGAAGACGAGGAAATGCGTATCACCACCTGCATCTCAATATTGCAAGCTCCGAGGAAGACGAGGAAATGCGTATCACCACCTGCATCTCAATATTGCAAGCTCCGAGGAAGACAAGGAAATGCGTATCACGATCTGCATCTCAATATTGCAAGGCGGGAGATAGACGAGGAACTGTCTATCAACATCAGCATCTCAATATTGCAAGCTCCGAGGAAGACGAGGAAATGCGTATCACCACCTGCATCTCAATTTTGCAAAGTTGGAGATAGACGAGGAACTGCCTGTCACCATCAGCATCTCAATATTGCAAGATGCGAGGAAGACGAAGAAAAGCAAATCACCACCTGTATCTCAATATTGCAAGCTCCGAAGAAGACGAGGAAATGCGTATCACCACCTGCATCTCATTATTGCAAGGTTGAAGATAGACGAGGAACTGCCTGTCACCATCAGAATCTCATTATTGCAAACTCTCAATATTGCAAGCTCCGAGAAGACAAGGAAACATTATCACCAGCATCTCGAGGAAGAAATGCATATCACCACCTGAAAGCTCCGAGGAAGACGATCACCACCTGCATCTCAATATTGCAAGTTCCGAGGAAGACGAGGAAATGCGTATCACCACCTGCATCTCATTATTGCAAGCTCCGAGGAAGACGAGGAAGACGAGGTATTGCAATCTCAATATTGCAAGCTCCATGAAGACGAGGAAATGCGTATCACCACCTGCATCTCAATATTGCAAGCTCCGACGAAGGATGAAGATAGACAAGGAAATGCGTATCACCACCCATCTCAATATTGCAAGTAATGGGGAAGACGAGGAAATGCGTATCACCACCTGCATCTCAATATTCCGAGAAAACGGGGAAATGCGTATCACCACAAGCATCTCGAGGAAGAGGAAGAAATGCGTATCACCACCTGCATCTCAATATTGCAAGCTCCGAGGAAGACGAGGAAATGCGTATCACCACCTGCATCTCAATATTGCAAGCTCCGAGGAAGACGAGGAAATGCGTATCACCACCTGCATCTCAATATTGCAAGCTCCGAGGAAGACGAGGAAATGCGTATCACCACCTGCATCTCAATATTGCAAGCTCCGAGGAAGACGAGGAAATGCATATAACCCACCTGCATCTCCTCCGAGCCCGGGGAAGACGAGGAAATCGTATCAATGCATCTCAATGCAAGCCCGAGGAAGACGAGGAAATGTATATAACCCACCACTGCATCTCAATATTGCAAGCTCCGAGGAAGACGAGGAAATCTGTATCACCACCTGCATCTCAATATTCCGAGGAAGAAGAAATGCGTATCACCACCTGAGAGGACTGTCAGAATCCTCATTACAAGAAATGCGTATCACCACCTGCATCTCAATATTGCAAGCTTCGAGGAAGACGAGGAAATGCATATCAATATTGCATCTCAATATTGCAAGCTCCGGGAAGACGAGGAAATCACCATCAGAATCACCACCTGCATCTCCAAAGGAAGACAAGGAAATGCGTATCAACCTGCATCCAATATTGCAAGGAAGAAAGAGAAAATGCGTATCATATCTGCATCCAATACCTTGGGGCATCTCAATATTATTGTAAGCTCCGAGGAAGACGAGGAAATGCGTATCACCACCTGCATCTCAATATTGCAATCGAGGAAGACGAGGAAATGCGTATCACCACCTGCATCTCATATTGCAAGCTCCGGGGAAGACGAGGAAATGCGTTGAGGATACCACCTGCATCTCACCGAGGGAAGACGAGGAAATGCGTATCACCACCTGCATCTCAATATTGCAAGCTCCAAGGAAGACGAGGAAATGCATCTCATCACCACCTGCATCTCAATATTGCAATCTCTGAGGAAGACGAGGAAATGCGTATCACCACCTGCATCTCAATATTGCAAGCCCGGGGACGAGGAAGGAAGACAAGGAAATGCGTATCATCACCATCTCAGAATCTGCACCTGCATCTCTCCACCTGCATCTCAATATTGCAAGCTCCGAGGAAGACGATGAAATGCGTATCACCACCTGCATCTCAATATTGCAAGCTCCGAGGAAGACGAGGAAATGCGTCACCACTGCATCTCATATTGCAAGTTGAGGAAGACGAGGAAATGAAGATACCACCTGCAGGAACTGCGAGAAATGTCACCTGAAATCTCAATATTGTCAAGCCTCGAGGAAGACGAGGAAATGCGTATCACCACCTGCATCTCAAATATTGCTCCTCCGAGGAAGACGAGGAAAAACCAGATCTCATTATTGCAAGCTCCGAGGAAGAAATGCGTATCACCACCCGTACGTCAATATTTCAAGTTCCGAAGACGACGAGGAATCTACCACCTGCATCTCAATATTGCAAGTTCCGAAGACTGCGTATCAAGCATCTAAATATTGCAAATCCGAAGAAGACGAGGAAATGCGTATCACTACCTGCATCTCAATATTGCAAGCTCCAGGAAGACGAGGAAATGAAACCTGCATAATTTCAAGTCCAAATCTCAAAATGCGGAGATAGAAGAGGAAAGGAACATCTAAATATCTTCCATCAGCATCTCAATATTGCAAGCTCCGGGGAAGACGAGGAAATTCGTATCACCACCTGCATCTAAATATTGCAAGTTCCGAAGAAGACGAGGAAATGCGTATCACCATCCATTGTTGCAAGCTCCGAGGGAAGACGAGGAAATGCGTATCACCACCTGCAAAATATTGAGGAAGACGACGAGGAAATGCGTATCACCACCTGTATCTCTCCTGAGGAAGACAAGGAAATGCGTATCACCACCTGCATCTCATTATTGCAATCTGAGGAAGACGAGGTATCACCACCGTATCATTATTGCACGAGAAGACGAGGAAATGCATCTACCTGCATCTAAATATTGTAAGTTCCAAAGACGACGGGAAATGCGTATCACCACCTGCATCTCAATATTGCAAGCTCCGAGAAGACGAATGCATATCACCACCTGCATCTCAATATTCAAGCTCCGAGGACGACGAGGAAATGCGTATGCACCTGCATCTCAATATTGAAAACGGGGAAATGCGGCATCTCATTATTGCAAGCACCGGGGAAGAAGAAAAGGAACCTGTATCTCTTCCAGCTCAGGTAGACGAGGCATCTCAATATTGAAGTATCACCACCTGTATCTTGGGGAAGACGAGGAAATGCGTATCACCTTCCATCTCAATATTGCATCAAAGAAGACACCATATTGCAAGCTCCGAGGAAGACGAGGAAATGCGTATCACCACCTGCATCCTCAATGCATCTCAATATTGCAAGCTCCGAGGAAGACGAAAGGAAGACGAGGAAAATGCGTATCACCACCTGTATCTCATTATTGCAAGAAGACGAGGAAATAAATATCTACCGCATGTGACGACGAGGAAAATGCGTATCACCACCTGTATCTCATTTCAAGCTCCGAGGAAGACGAGGAAATTATCACCACCTGCATCCAAGGAAGACGACGAGGAAATGCGTATCACCACCTGTATCTCATTATTGCAAGCTCCGAGGAAGACGAGGAATGCGTATCACCACCTTGCATCAATATTGCAAGTTCCAAAGAACGACGAGGAAATGCGTATCACCACCTGTTCTCATTATTGGAGGAAGACGATGCGTATCAACCTGCATCTAAATATTGCAAGTCCAAAAGACGAGGAAAATGCGTATCACCACCTGTATCTCATTATTGCAAGCTCCGAGGAAGACGAAATGCGTATCACCACCTGCATCTAAATATTGCAAGTTCCGAAGAAGACGAGGAAATGCGTATCACCACCTGTATCTCCAAGCTCAAAGGAAGACGAGGAAATGCGTATCAACCCATGCATCTCATTATTGATTGCTCCGAAGACGACGAGGAAATGCGTATCACCACCTGTATCTCATTATTGCAAGCTCCGGAAAATGCGAAGATCGAGGAAATGCGTATCACCACCTGCATCTCATTATTGAAGCTGAAGAAGACGAGGAAATGCGTATCACCACCTGACATCTCAATATTGCAAGCTCCGAGGAAGACGAGGAAATGGTATCACCACCAATGCATCTCAATATTACCTGTATCTCGAAGACGAGAGGAAATGCGTATCAAGTTCCACCTGCATCTCATTATGAAACTGAGGAAGACGAGCGTAAGCATCTAAATATTGCAAGCTCCAAAGAAGAAATGCGTATCACCACCTGATATTGCAACGACGAAATTATTGCAGGTTCAAATAACGACGAAATGCGTATCACCACCTGTATCTCATTATTGCAAGCTCCGAGGAAGACGGGAAATGCGTATCTGCATCTCAATATTGCAAGTTAGGAACGACCACCGTATCACCACCTCATCTCATTATTGCAAGCTCCGAGGAAGACGAGGAAATGCGTATCACCACCTGCATCTCCAAGTTCCGAAGACGACGAGGAAAATCATATCACCACCTGCATCTCATTATTGCAAGCTCCGAGGAAGACGAGGAAATGCGTATCACCACTAAATATTGCATCTCAATATTGCAAGCTCCGAAGAAGACGAGGAAATGCGTATCACCACCTGTATCTCAATATTGAGCTCCGAGGAAGACGAGGAAATGCGTATCACCACCTGCATCTCAATATCACAAAGAAGACGAGGGAATGCGTATCACCACCTGTATCTCATTATTGCAAGCTCCGGGAAGACGAGGAATGCGTATCACCACCATCTCAATATTTGACAAGTATCCCACCTGCATCTATTATTGAGAGGAAGACGAGGAAATGCGTAACCACCTGTATCGAAGACGAGGAAATGCGTATCACCTGCAATATCTCCGAGGAAGACGAGGAAAATCTCATTATTGCAAGCTCCAAAGGAAGACGAGGAAAATGCGTATCACCAGTATCTCATTATTGCAAGTTCCGAAAACACCACCTGGAAATGCGTATCACCACCTGTATCTCATTATTGCAGCTTCCGAAGAAGACGAGGAAATGCGTATCACCACCTGCATCTCAATATTCAAGCCCTCCAAAAGACGAGGAAATGCGTATCTCAATATTGCAAGCTCCGAGGAAGACGAGGAAATGCGTATCACCACCTGCATCTCAATATTGCAAGCTCCGAGGAAGACGAGGAAATGCGTATCACCACCTGCATCTCAATATTGCAAGCTCCGAGGAAGACGACCGGCATCTCAAAATGCTGTATCTCATTAAGACGAGGAATGCGTATCACCACCTGCATCTCAATATTGCAAGCTCCGAAGAAGACGAGGAAATGTATCATCCATTCACCACCCGCTCCGAGGAAGACGAGAAATGCGTATCACCACCAATATTGCAAGTTCCGAAGAAGACGAGGAAATGCGTATCACCACCTGCATCTCATTATTGCAAGAACTGCAATCTCACGACGAGGAAATCATCACCTGTATCTCATGTCTTCCATCAGCATCTCAATATTTCAAGTTCCGAGGAAGACGAGGATGCGAAGTATCTCATTATTGCAAGTTCCGAAGACGACGAGGATAGCTCCGGAAGAGACGAAATGCGTATCACCACCTGCATCTCAATATTGCAAGCTCAAAAGAAGACGGGGAAAGCGTATCACCTGAATCTCATTATTGAGCTCCGAAGACGAGGAAATGCGTATCTCCACCTGCATCTAAATATTGCAAGTTATTCAGCTCCGAGGGAAGACCGGGAATGTATCACCACCTGCATCTCAAGTTCCGAAGAAGACGTATCACCACCTGGAAATGCGTATCATCTCAATATTGCAACTGGAAGACGACAATCACCACCTGCATCTCAATATTGCAAGCTCCGAGGAAGACGAAATGCGTATCACCACCTGCATCTCAATATTGCAAGCTCCGAGGAAGACGAGGAAATGCGTATCACCACCTGCATCTCTAAATTGTAGGTTCAAGGAAGAGGAAAATGCGTATCGCATCTCAATATTGCTCCGAGGAAGATGAGGAAATGCGTATCACCACCTGCATCTCAATATTGCAATGTATCTCATTATGTATCCGAGAAGACGAGAGGAAATGCGTATCACCACCTGCATCTCAATATTGCGAGGAAGACGAGGAAGCGTATCACCCGCAGGAAGACGAGGAAACGAGGAAATGCGTATCATATGCATCCACCTGCATCTCATTATTGCAAGCTCCGAGGAAGACGAGGAAATGCGTATCACCACCTGCATCTCAATATTGCAAGTTCCGAGGAAGACAAGGAAATGCATATCCAACCTGTATCTCAATATTCACCACGTGCATCTCATTATTGCAAGCTCCGAGGAAGACGAGAAATGCGTAAATCTATCTGTATCCAGGAAGACCACCTGCATCTCAATATTGTATCACCAAGCATCTGAGGAAGACGAGGAAATGCGTATCACCACCATTATTGCAATCGAGGAAGACGAGGAAATGCGTATATTGTATCTCAAGCTCCGAGGAAGACGAGGAAATGCGTATCACCACCTGCATCTCAATAATTCAAGTTCCGAAGACGACGAGGAAATGCGTATCACCACCTGTATCTCATTATTGCAACCTGTATCCGAGGAAGACGAGGAAATGCGTATCACCACCTGCATCTAAATATTGCAAGTTCCGAAGACGACGAGGAAATGCGTATCACCACCTGTATCTCATTATTGCGTATCAAGCATCCGAGGAAGACGAGGAAATGCGTATCACCACCTGCATCTAAATATTGCAAGTTCCGAAGACGACGAGGAAATGCGTATCACCACCTGCATCTCAATATTGCCAAGCTCCGAGGAAGACGAGGAAATGCGTATCACCTGCATCTAAATATTGCAAGCTCCAAAGAAGACGAGGAAATGCGTATCACCACCTGTATCTCATTATTGCAAGCTCCGAGGAAGACGAGGAAATGCGTATTCACCACCTGCATGTCAATATTTCAAGTTCCGAGGAAGACGAGGAAATGCGTATCACCACCTGTATCTCGAAGACGAGGAATGCGTATCACCACCTGCATCTCAATTTTGCAAAGTTGAGATCAAGGAATGTCACCATCAGCATCTCAATAGCTCCGAGGAAGACATTCACACCTGCATCTCATTATTGCCTGCAAGCTCCGAGGAAGACGAGGAAATGCGTATCCCCTGCATCACCACCTGTCATCTAAATATTGCAAGTTCCGAAGACGACGAGGAAATGCGTATCACCACCTGTATCTCAATATTGCAAGTTCCGAAGAAGACGAGGAAATGCGTATCACCACCTGCATCTAAATATTGCAAGTTCCGAAGACGACGAGGAAATGCGTCATCACCACCATGCATATTCATTATTGCGTATCACCAAGTATCCAAAGAAGACGAGGAAATGCGTATCACCACCTTTATCTCATTATTGCAAGAAGACGAGGAAGACGAGGACATGCGTATCACCACCAATATTGCAAGCTCCAAGGAGACGAGGAAATGCATCTAAATATTGCAAGCTTCGAGGAAGACGAGGAAATGTTCATTATTGCAAGTTCCGAGAAGACGAGGAAATGAAGACGACGAGGAAATGCGTATCACCACCTGTATCTCATTATTGCAAGCTCCAAAGGAAGACGAGGAAATGCGTATCACCACCTGCATCTCATTATTTCAAGCTCCCGAAAGTATCAGACGAGGAAATGCGTATCACCACCTGTATCTCATTATTGCAAGCTCCGAGGAAGACGAGGAAATGCGTATCACCACCTGCATCTAAATATTGCAAGTTCCGAAGACGACGAGGAAATGCGTATCACCACCTGTATCTCATTATTGCAAGCTCCGAGGAAGACGAGGAAATGCGTATCACCACCTGCATCTCATTATTGCAAGCTCCAAAGAAGACGAGGAAATGCGTATCACCACCTGTATCTCATTATTGCAAGCTCTCGAAATGCGTATCACCAATCTCTAATATTATTGCTGTCAATCTCCGAGGAAGACGAGGAAATGCGTATCACCACCTGCATGTCAATATTTCAAGTTCCGAAGACGACGAGGAAATGCGTATCACCACCTGTATCTCATTATTGCAAGCTCCGAGGAAGACGAGGAAATGCGTATCACCACCTGCATCTCAATATTGCAAGTTCCGAAGACGACGAGGAAATGCGTATCACCACCTGTATCTCATTATTGCAAGCTCCGAGGAAGACGAGGAAATGCGTATCACCACCTGCATCTAAATATTGCAAGTTCCGAAGACGACGAGGAAATGCGTATCACCAGCTGTATCTCATTATTGCAAGCTCCGAGGAAGACGAGGAAATGCGTATCACCACCTGCATCTCATTATTGCAAGCTCCAAAGAAGACGAGGAAATGCGTATCACCACCTGTATCTCATTATTGCAAGCTCCGAGGAAGACGAGGAAATGCGTATCACTATCTGCATCTCAATATTGCAAGGCTGGAGATAGACGAGGAACTGTCTGTCACCATCTGCATCTCAATATTGCAAGCTCCGAGGAAGACGAGGAAATGCGTATCACCACCTGCATCTCAATTTTGCAAAGTTGGAGATAGACAAGGAACTGCCTGTCACCATCAGCATCTCAATATTGCAAGCTCCGAGGAAGATGAGAAAATGCGTATCACCACCTGCATCTCAATATTGCAAGCTCCGAAGAATACGAGGAAATGCGTATCACCACCTGCATCTCAATATTGCAAGCTCCGAAGAAGACGAGGAAATGCGTATCACCACCTACATCTCATTATTGCAAGGTTGAAGACAGACGAGGAACTGCCTGTCTCCATCAGCATCTCAATATTGCAAGCTACGAGGAAGACTAAGAAATGCGTATCACCACCTGCATCTCAATATTGCAAGCTCCGAGGAAGACGAGGAAATGCGTATCACCACCTGCATCTCAATATTGCAAGCTCCGAGGAAGACGAGGAAATGCGTATCACGATCTGCATCTCAATATTGCAAGGCTGGAGATAGACGAGGAACTGTCTGTCACCATCTGCATCTCAATATTGCAAGCTCCGAGGAAGACGAGGAAATGCGTATCACCACCTGCATCTCAATATTGCAAGGTTGAAGATAGACGAGGAACTGCCTGTCACCATCAGCATCTCAATATTGCAAGCTCCGAGGAAGACGAGGAAATGCGTATCACCACCTGCATCTCAATATTGCAAGCTCCGAGGAAGACGAGGAAATGCGTATCACCACCTGCATCTCAATATTCTCCACCAAGCTCCAAAGGAAGACGAGGGAAATGCGTATCACCACCTGCATCTCAATATTGCAAGGCTGGAGATAGACGAGGAACTGTCTGTCACCATCAGCATCTCAATATTGCAAGCACCGAGGAAGACGAGGAAATGCGTATCACCACCTGCATCTCATTATTGCAAGGTTGAAGATAGACGAGGAACTGCCTGTCACCATCAGCATCTCAATATTGCAAGCTCTGAGGAAGACGAGGAAATGCGTATCACCACCTGCATTTCAATATATCACCACCTGCATCTCTCAATACGAGGAATTGTCACCAAGCTCCGATTGGGAAGACGAGGAAATGCGTATCACCACCTGCATCTCAATATTGCAAGCTCCAAGGAAGACGAGGAAATGCGTATCACCACCTGCATCTCAATATTGCAAGGCTGGAGATAGACGAGAAACTGCCTATCACCATTAGCATCTCAATATTGCAAACTTGCAGAAAGACGAGGAAATGCCTTTCACTGCCAGCATCCCCCTATTGCAAGGAAGACGAGGTATTGTGTATAACCACCAGAATCTCCATATTAAAAATTTTGGGGTCAGACGAAGAATTGCCTATCAGCACCTGCATCTCAATATGACAAGCTTGGAGGAAGTCGAGGAATTGCGTATCACCATAAGCATTTCAATATTTCAATCTTGGAGAAAGAAGAGGAATTGCCTATCAGCACTCGCACCTCAATATTGCAAGCTAGGACTAAGACGAGGAAATGCGTATTACCACCTGTATCTCAATATTACAAGCTTGGAGGAAGACGAGGAATTGCCTATCAGCATAAGTACTATCTTTTTTCAGTAGGTTAGATGTAAATATATGTACCGATATACGAGCTAGCAGAAGACAATCTCCCCTGGATTTGAACCAGACAATTTTATTTTTTGCATAATTTCAAAAGAGAAGAAAATACTTAAATTCGAAACAAAAATCTCATTTAATGATGAGACTTTTCTCGGTTTGTTGGTGATATTCGTAAGGAAACTCACAAGAATTAGGCAACTTCTGGAGAAGCACGGAAGATTGTGCAGCATCATTCTTTCACGTTAGATATTTGTTTATTTTGTAAGCCAACACTGGAGATCTGGTATTTCCTTGATGGGTTTCTGAAGTTTCATTCGTTTCGCTTGTTTTTCTCTTTCGCTCTGAGTCACTTCCGAAAATCTGGCCAAATAATCAAGAATCGGATTTGGGGGCTGGGAATCCCTTCTTGTATGCACCGAGAATTTTTTAATATTAAATGTCAACCAGATTAGTTTCTTTGCCTCGCTTTTTTTCTTTTTTTTTCACTAAGATCAAGAATAATCGTTTAAAATGTATTTTCTTTCTTTATTATATAAGTTTTATGCTTTCTATCTTTATATTTTTCTCTTTCTAACGTTAACTTTTTCTGTTTATTATTAGATGACGCAATTTCAGTAATCATTAATTTTGACTAGCTTTTTGCTTTCATCTTGAATATTTTCCACTTGCATTTTATCAGAGTTTAAGCAAACTCTCGTTCCTTCTCAAGTTACTCCGGCAACGTATCATTTAACGTTTCCCTTCCTCGCGGTTTTCTCGTTGCTGTAGATTGACGGCCCGTGAATATTTCGGAAAAGAATGATAAAAAAATAGAAAAAAAGAAAAACAAATACTAGTCAACATTAACAAAAGGCTGACAATGTGTCATATAAAACGAAAAAAAATAATAAGATAATATTGTTGTTACGACAAGAGCAAGTACCATAACAGATATGGTATCAATAGAGACCGGGAACGAAGTGATCTTTTGCCAACCATCGATTTTCATATAGCTCAGTTAACAATGTTTCCTTCAAGCAAATATTTTCTCTTTTAATATTCTGGATCCGAGTTATTTGCTTGCTATCGTAATCCGACATCTGTTATAAGCTTTGGTGAAAGAAACTGAAAAGATGAAAGGAAAGAGACAAAATGAAAGTAAAAAACATAAAATGTCGGAATATTGTTGAACATTTTCCAACACTGTATCTTTTCTTTTCTGTGTCTTTTCTGTTCTATTTTCTTTTATTAAATCGCTCTATTTTATTGTTGAAAAATATTGGAAGATTTACGTCAATCATTTTGATTTATTTTACTATTACTACTACTACTACTACTACTACTACTACTACTACTACTAATACTAATAATAATAATATGTGCGGTTTTTCTTTTTTTATAACTGCTCAGTGGAAAATATCACGAAGCCATTTCTGACCTTAGGTTTCTGGTTGGGACCCAGAAAAAAATGAGTATATACCAGAAACTACAGGAAATAAAACAACAACAATAGCAACAACAATAGCAACAACAACAACAACAACAACAATAATAATAATAATAATAATAATAATAATAATAATAAAAATAGAAGTACCATGAAATCGAAATCTCAAAAATGTGGCACATCATTCTAAATTTTGATTAAAAAAACCTTGTTTCTATTTGTATCAGCGGAACTAGTAAATAACATAGACAATTTTTAGCACGTTTTTTTTGGTATGACACACATTAATTTGAAAAATCGTGCAAAAATAGAAATAATTATCGGATGTTAATGAAACTTTCAGGAACTATTCACAGATGATCGAAATTATTATAAATATGTTTTTTTTTTAATGAAAGTCATGGTAGAAATATTTTTTTAAATATTTATTATCCCCCCATAACTAATTTTATGAAAACGCTAGAAATTCGATCGCATCGGTTTTAGTGATTACAATAATTAAAAGCACAGGGCTTTGAGGAATGCAAATCATGTTTTTTTTTGGTTTTTTATTGGATACGCAGTACCTGAAAATCAGCTCTGAATTGTAACATACAAAACTCAATAAAACAAAGATATTATTTAATTTCAAATGCTTTTATTTGCTTTTAGTTGTTTTTATGAATATGGACAATATTTTCTGTAAGCAAAAAAATTTTTCGATGAAAAATGAATTTTTAATACAATTATTTGTTATTTCATTAATTATAATAGATTTTTGCATTTAAGTTGTTAAAATATTATAAAATTAGTTAAAAGCCGCATCGGCTTTCATAAGTGTATCTTATGAGATAGATCTTTTTTTAGCGCGTTGTAAATTGTATCATTTTGACTAATCAGAAGATCCCCAGTAATTAGAAATGTAATTTTGTGCTTATAATCGAGCTGTAATTATAAAATACGGAAGACCAACCAGAATATAATTAAGTTGCGTTATTTGAGTTAAGCATTGTTCTCCGCTGTTAAGGCCTTTACTTTTTGCAGAAAACACGTGGAGAAGTTAATTTGATTTTTCAATTTCAACTGAGAAGGGTACCTACAAGTATCAGTATCATCTTATGAAATTTATATGATCTTATTTTTTATATTAATCTCAGTTACGACATTTTTTTCCATAAATGAAATATCAAAATTAATAATAAAATGACTGCAAATACAAATAACAGTAGAATGTAATAAATGTACATAAAATTATAGTATTTTATGTACAATTCTGATAAAATTTCATAAGAAAGGTACCTATAAATTAATTAGATACCTTTCTTAAGAAATATGAAATTTAATGTCATTCTTAACAGTTTTATTTTAATTTCTTTAGAATATATTTCCCATAAAGCATCATAAACGTAAAGGTACAAAAGCTAAGTACAAAAAAAAAAAAAAATAAAATTAGACCGCTGAAAGTTTTCGTTAAAAATAACGGGGTAAATAATTTGTTCACGTAAATGTAAATTATTTCACTTTTCTCCTTCCGTAGAACAAATTAGCCTCATGGAATTCGTAAATATATCATTCATCACATGTCAAGAGACGCGAAAGTTTATGACCTGCTTTGTTTTATTTTCAAATTACATCTTTTTGGCACAAAAGCTAAGTTAAGTTTGGTTCAAAATATTTTAAATAAACATTATAATTTCTGATTTTCTTAAAATAAGTTTTGAAAAAATGATAATTGATATTTAAAAAATTTCAAAGTCAGATTTCCAGTTTTTTTAAAATGGAAAAAAAATGGTCAATTTTGCTGACTCAAAAAAAAAACTAGATTTTTAACGAAAATTTCGGACGTGCTAGGAACGATTAAAAATGGAAAAAATACCCCCAAAATACTTTTGACCTTTCCTCTTAATAATAACAAACATTTAGACGATAAAATTTTGTTTTCGTCAAGTTTGGCGTCTTTTTCATCATGCTATGCTCTTTTTTTAGCGATCTCGTGGATAGGAGACATTAACAATCCCTGTTGTGGTTGGGGCACTCGGATTGATTGAAAAAGATTCCAGTAGACTCACTGAAGGGATTCCTGGAAACCCATGCCTTAAAGAAATACAAAAAATTGTACTCAGAAATATAGCCCATATGTTACGAAGGGCCTTATCTATGTAAAATATGTATGTGTATTTTTTTTTTAATTGGTTAGTGGAAAATGTCATGATGCCATTTCCAACTTTAGGACTCTGGCCGGGAACCGGAAAGAAATGTGTACACACCAGAATTCAAAGGAAATAAAATAATACTAATACTAATACTAATACTACTACTAATAATAATAGTTATACTGTCGAAATATTGTTTATCATTATATTAAATACTGTATTTTTTCTCTTCTTAAATCGAGCACTTGCTAACAACAACAGTCACAACAACAACAACAACAATAATAATAATAATAATATGTAGAATTCTTGCTTAATAATTCTGCATATTAACCTTCAGTTTAAGTACATAATGTTTTTATCTGCTATATTCATTTTCCTTTTAGTCGCTGTCTGACTATTTTTCCTATGTTTTGTTTAATATTTATATATTTTACCTTTTTTTGTAGGTGATTCGATTGACCCACACGAAAGTCTCGATAACCACAAGGAACGCGAAGACATCATTTTCAGTAACCTAAAAAGTGAACAAATATTCGTGCCAATTTTTTTTTTTTTTTAACGAAACATGGGAAAACCTTTGGGATTAAACAGGTATTAAATTAGCAGAGTGATTGAAGCCAAGGCCTAATTTTGCAGAGACACTATTGAAAACTTTTAGTTCTTCTGATTAGTTAAAGACTTAATAGCATGCATACCTTATGAACTACGCCAGTACCAGCGTAAAAAAAATGTTGGAAATTGCTTTTTTAAACGAATGGTATTATTGGACGCATG